GGATTTCTTTTTTAGGGTTTAAATTATGCCTGTTTTGGAGTGTGAAAAAGGTGAACTCGTATAATGTTCAATTTAACTGGGTTTCACACATTCCTCGCAGGTCAGTTCAATTTCTTTTTCGAGATACTTGAATGAAAGTTTTCTGAAGACAGTATTTTACGAGAAATGTTTAGCGCAGTTTGCAATGAACCGGAATAAAGACGAAGAGAATATTTTGTCGCGTTAAGGTTGAAGTAAAATCTAGAACTCGAGGAAAACCTCTCGCATGGGTAGCAAGGTTTACGGCCAGCTTAGACTGTGAATTTTTAACAACGAACTATGGTCGTGAAATTTTTAAGCAATACAAATTTCAAATATATGTGATATTGCCTGAAAATAATGGTTATGGAAGATTGATAGTGTATAACACCGGTAAGCGAAGAGAAAACCAGGAAGGGGTTGTAAAAATGGAAATTCGGGAAGAGAATGTAGGGGAGAATATCGCTCCTTTATCTTTTCTGCTCAATTAAAATAAGCCGCTTAAGAAGGAAAAGGGACTGCATTATGTACCACACCACTTTTCAACCGTTTCAACAAATTCACAATGATCAGCTTACGTTTTCCAGCCTGTGGACTAACGCGACTGCCCCTAAACACGCCGAGAAACATCTCGCGACCTCTCGAATCCCTGGAAAAATCCGGACCCCGCTGGCTATACTTGCGAAAAATTACGTTCAGTTGAAAGTATAAGAAAAGTGGTTCGTTGATAAAGGCACGCTCTCTTGGGTCCGGTATATTCGCCCCGTGTTTGATATCGACAGCTCGAATTTTTCCCGGTTCGGAAAAATTTTTCGAAATAAATGCACTTTGCTTAATCAGTTTCCATATTTTAAGTCTTGGAGAATTTTCGAGAAAGTTTCACGGTAGAGAAAGGGACGAGGATTTGCACCACCCATGGGTAGAGGACTCCTCCCTTTCTCGGAGAAATAGGAGAGTAGAAACGCAGTGGAAGAAGTATGTGATCCTCGGTAATGGCCAGACGCCTCAAGTTCCTTGAAAAACTTTCGACTCCCAAGGTGAGTGTCTTTTCCTCTCTCTGTTTCCCTCTAACCTTTTACATCCTCCCTTTCGTTTTTCGTAACATTCCTCCCTCCTTCTCTTCTTTGTCCTGTCTCGTGCTCTCCTTCTCGATCTACTTATGGCTCAGTCGGTCTATTGGTTTTTATACTCCCTTGGTCATCCTATACGCTTTATTCGAAGACTTAACCCTGCTTCTTTATCGCTGGTGACTTTCCAGCAATCCTTCTGAATCTTGAGTTAGTATTCGGAAATTTTTTGCCTCGTCAGATAAGTGGAAGTCAATATTTTCGGGTTTTTTTTTATTATTCAGGAATGAAACCTTGAATATTTGCAATTTTCTACTATG